CTTCACAATCAAGTTAACCCTCTACTAAACCAAGATATTCCTCACTAAACCCTTCACAATCAAGGTAACCCTCTACTAAACAAAGATATTCCTCACAAACCCTTCACAATCAAGGTAACCCTCTACTAAGCCAAGATATTCCTTACTAAACCCTTCACAATCAAGTTAACCTTCTACTAAACCAAGATATTCCTTACTAAACCCTTCACAATCAAGGTAACCCCCTACTAAACCAAGATATTTCTCACTAAATCCTTCACAATCAAGGTAACCCTCTATTAAACCAAGATATTCCTCACTAAACCCTCCACAATCAAGGTATCCCTCACTAAACCCTCCACAATCAAAGTATCCCTCACTGACCCTCCAAAATCAAGGTATCCCTCACTGACCCTCCAAAATCAAGGTATCCCTCACTAAACCCTCCACAATCAAGGTATCCCTCACTAAACCCTCCACAATCAAGGTATCCCTCACTAAAATTAACAGTTAAAGTGAGAAATACCCTGATTTGGTGGTAGCCCTCGCTAAATCAAGGTTTTTTTTTTTAACCTCGATTCAGTGAATTATACCACGAGTGCCACAATCCTTTAGCCTTGTGGATTTCAAGTATCGTTAATACTTATTCCTTTGGTAGAATACAAGAATAAGTGTTCACTCTTTCGTTATAAAGAGGGCCTCTTATTACCGTGTAAAGGTTATCAGTTAAAGGAAACATATAGGAATACTTTACACTCCTGTAAGGAATATAATGCTAAATAACCCTTCTACATTTGAATGGTTCAGAATCCTGTGATAAAGAAACGAATCTAGAACATCTCAGTAGCACTTTTAAGGTTAAAATATTCGGATTTTAAGGCAAATATATTTAATTAAATTCTTAAAATGGGTTTGTATGTTTATAAATGTTACAAAAGACAAATTTTACAAGAATTATCTTGTTTAAAAAGTCGAAAATTTCAGCTCAACTTCACCATTTCCCTTCGTATCTATCATTTCCTTAAAAAAAAAATAATAATGCTTTTTTTTTATCCTTAATTTTCCTTAAAAGAAAGAAGTCCGCATTTTCTTGGCATGCCAAAGGTTTAATTGAAAATTAAACAAGCTTTAAAGATAAATTAAAAAGCGATAAGTTTACTTAATTTTAATTTCAAGAAGAGTTTTATCATTAAGGCTCATATAGAACTTACTTTTCCTTTTTTTTTTTTAACTATTAAATAATTGCCAAGTTTCCTCCCTCCTCCTGTAAGAAACCAATCGATAGTCTTTTCTATTAATAGAAGGCATAAAAAATCGGGGGCATACTTTAATTCTGCATTTATGCCCCTTTAAACGTGTCCGAATGGCTGGAGGTATCCTGGATGATAAACTGCGATTCTCTATAATCAGGTTAAAGGGGGGGGTCATAAGATGGAGGTAATCGAATTGCAACGATGAGGCCTTGATTAATGGTCGTTTAATAGCCCCATTAAGCCATTTAATTCCTAAAATTTTAAAGAAAAAAACGATTCTAATTGATATCAACTCAACGAAACGGGTGAGTGGGTTGCTCTTCTTCGGAGTTGTGGTCAAATTGTTTTTTTTTTTTTTTTTGAGTGAGGGTAAATAAATTGCTAAAGAATATCTTTGAAAAGGCTTAAAAACGTTCCTCCTATTACGTTTTTAGGGATTCGTAAAAAAAGTTGACCGCAAAATGTCGCGTGAATGCCATTTCTGTGAAGTCCTTCAATGAGAAGATTAGAGATTTTAATGAAGACATTAAATTAAACGAAATCGGAGTATTTAATTATAATTAATAGCATTTTCTCTATAAAATTTACTGGATTATCATTGCCTAATCTCGAATAAGGTTTAAAGGTTAAAAAAATTCTATTAAGAGATGATTAAAATCTAGTGTGAAACACGAAAACACCATTAAGATCATTTCTCGTAAGGATAGTGCGGATATTTAAACGTATAGGAGTGGAAAACCCTATTTAGAGTCTAATGGGTGATTAAATCAACAATTTAGAAAGGGAATTAACTGTTTAATTAACCTTAAAGTTTAGATTCTTAAATACAACAGTTCTAAGATGTTTCCTTTGTCGCATGCAATGTCGATTATTGGGAAAAGTAGGGAGGTATTTCAAGTAATAATAGGGAATAATTCAGTATAGGGATCAATCACATTAAGAAAACGTGCTTTTTTTAAATTTATTTTCTTCTTTTTGTGCCAAGGAGACAGGACCAATCGAGTTAAGTACACCTCAGGATTTATTTAGTAACTTGCCCTATGTAGAAGAATAAAGTATGGAGTGGGTGGGAATACAATCTCGTCTTGTGGGAAAGTAGAATTACTTTCTTGTGGACCAAGAAAGGAGGGCAGATAAAGAAAGAAAAAAAAAAATAGAAAAGAAAAAAAAAATCTCGTCCGATCTACCAGCAGCCGCACGCTGTCTGAGACCACTAACAAGGTGTCACCTATTGCAGACACACCGAGAGGGGGTGGCCACTTTTTCGCCATCCCCTAGCCGCCGGGGGAGATAGATGAGATTGGAGGGGGAAGGAGAGTCCGACGGGGGGGAAGGAAGAGTCATGCAGCTATGATTAATGACCTGCCTGTCTACCTGGGCTCGGACTGGGCGGCCCTTATGATGTATGGCCGTCCCTTTCGCCGCTCTAACCCCCCCTCTCTTCTAATGGACGTAAACAACGCGAGAGGGGGGTTTGCTGCCGTTCTGACATGCGCACTCCGGGATCGGGTAAACAAGGAGGCCACTTCCCTCCCGTTGAGAACTGAGGAAGTTGTGCGGTTGATAAAAATTGTTAGGAAGACCCCCTCTTTCGATAAAGGTTCCTCCACGTTGTAGAATACTTCGTCTGGATGCCTTTTCAAACTATTAAGGTTGCTCGCATTACTAATTTCTTTTTAAGGAGAACAAATATTGAGACTATAAGTCAGGTGGGCCTGCTTCGGGCAAACCATCTGTCGTTAAACCATTAATCTTGCTTCTTCCTAAACTTTTTCAATTAACTTGGCAAAAATCATGTGGCTCACTCTTAGTAACGCAGTTTATAGCTACGAGAAGTACTCTTACACCTCTCGAACTGTATTTTGAATCTAATCCCTCTTACCTTTACCCTATACATACCTCCACCTTTATTTAATACCCCCTCTTTATTCTATATTTACAACCCTTTCTTTTATACCTGTTTATTTACACCCTTCTATATTTAAATGTATGCCATCTATTTATAACTACATATACATTTTACGCCCTCATATTTATGATTTTTTGTTATATAAATATCCTACTTGCGCCTCTCCTATACCTCTTTCTGTATATACCAGTCGACCCCACTATAACACTGTTGATAATTCCGTTCTATATGAATTCCATGTTGTACGAGTCACTTAGATTTTACAAATACGTGTGCCGGGCTGCGAACGGCTCACGTATTTGTAAAATCTAAGTGATTCGTACAACATGGAATTCATATAAAACGGAATTATCAACAGTGTTATGGGGGGTCGACTTGTACAAGCTCTTTATATATTTTTATTTATGCCCGTTCTACACACTTATAATCCCCTTCTACGTTTATAATCCTCCCATACTTAAGCCCCTTCTATACCTTTATACTTATGCCTCTTCCTACACTTAGAAGTCGTCTAAACTCGTATTTTATGCCCCTCCCAAACTACACTTTACGTATAATTCACCTTTTTTATGTATAAAATGATGTGATTAAATAATTGATTGTAAAAGCATTCTTTTGTGTGTGTGTGTGTGTGTGTTTCCCCCCCTCGTCCTCTGCTATTTTTTTTTTTTGAAGAGGAGGAGAACGTTAAAATCAATCTGAGTATCACGTAAACGTTGGTAGAAGTCGTGTAAGAGGACAAAGATGTCTGCTTTGAGTAGAAGTGGAGCCAATTACTGAGCTGCTTCGCTGCCGCCAGCAAGGTTGGGAGAAAGCTGAATTAATCATTCTTTGACAGTTCTCTAATCAGAAATTTTGAAGGAAATCATATCCCGCTGCAGGGAGACGTTGAGATTGAGAGACGGGGCTCTATCAGAAAATTTCATTTCGGTAAGCCTTGATTGGGAGCCCTTACAGGCAGTAAAATGCATTACAAGTTTTTACTTCCCTCCTGTCACGTCCCCCCGTTTCTAGTGGTTTCCTAATGCCCTGGCATACATTTAAAAAGCTGTTTTCTAGCTCATTTTTAAACGTTTTCTTAAGAAATCGCTCGTAAGATTTTACATATCAGGGGTTTTTCGGACAGAGGTAAAATCAGAAAAACCTCCGAACATGAAAATCTTGTCGACCAAGTGGGATTTTAAAAAGTGGGACGTTATTTGAGAAATTGCTTGGAAGATTTCCATTTTCAGAGGTTTTTCGGACATTACCTCTGTCCGAAAAACCTCTGAAAATGGAAATCTTGCTGATAAATTGAGATTTTTTTTGTATTTAGTGTATCTGAGGATGTTTTAGAACATGTCAGGCTTTCGTAAAAGATGTAGGCCCTAAATTGGTGTGAAAAGGCCTTCTGGTTTACAGATACAATATAGGCCTATGTTAATAGGCATAATATATTATTTATTTCTGTCGTATGATGCTTTGATGAGTAGAATAATGAATAAAGTTAACTAAAACATTTTTTTGAACTATTTAGGCCCTAAATTGGTATAGAAGTGACCACTAAATACTGTAACACGTCTAAAAGCACTAAATATATCATACAAAACCGTATATTGTTGCCATTAAAAACTCAATTGAGAGATGTTAGAATTATTGTGAGGGATGTTTTTATTAAAAAAAGTAAGCCTTAATTAACGTAGAAGGCCCACATCACCATCAATTATTTAATAAAGTAAGATATACGCTACCTTTACAACTGAATATCATCTCGTAGATCGTACCACGCTTACATCTAAAGACATAGGCCTTAAATTAAGCCTCATACGTTAGATAAAAGAAGAAAAAAAAACAATATACAGTACAGTACATAATGTGATTTTTATTCTTTTCATGATCCAAATAGGCTGGCACCTGTGTGTGTGAGGTATATATTTATCCATATTTATACATATATGTAGGCCCCCTAGGGCCCGCTATCGCACAGGGGGGCAACTCGGTAGAAAAATACATGATAGTTACGCGATATATAGGGATGGCAGACTGTACGATCGGGGCGTGAAACACACACCCCACCCCGATCGTTAGATAGTCCCAATAATTTATATTTTAAAAAGTCTTTTATATTTATATATATATATATATATCTATATATATTTATTTATATAATCTTCATCATCTTCGGCATCATCTGTACATAATTCGGTTCGGAGTACGACGAAAACAGCCGCGAAAAAACACACGCACACGCACACACATTACTTTCGCTCACTGGTTAGCATCCTTTGAAGTAAGTGCAGTCTGATTTTGGGCGGAGCCACTGTTAGGAGGGCTTGAGGATGAGGTGGGGCTGTTGTTTTCCTTCGAGGCGGGTTCACCGGGTATCAGGCCCTCTTTCATCCTCTTCTTCTGCTTCATTCTCCTGTTCTGGAACCAGATTTTCACTTGAGTCTCGTTAAGTTGAAGGGCGGTGGCAATTTCGATCCTTCTTGCCCTCGTCAAATATTTGTTGAAGTGAAACTCTTTCTCAAGTTCTGTTAACTGTTTGGTCGTGAAATTCGTACGCCCCGATCCTGGCCCTGCACCTGCACAAGCCTGGTTACCTCCACCAGTGAAGCCGTAGTCACTCTTGTTGACTGATGGTACAGACAGACAGGCAGAACGAGTGAGAGAGAGAGAGAAGGAGAGAGAGAGAGAGAGACATAGAAGAGAACCCATTATACATTGTCAACAATGGTAGCTATTAGTGAAACATTAGAAAGAAAATCAAATATATCGAGACTTAAGTTTAGTTTCCTATAAATTCTACATTTAGGTTTTAGTTTGATGGTGTTTTTAGGTAAAACTTCAATAAAAATCGAAAAAAAAAACACTTCTCTATCGCTAAAATTACTTTGGCGCTTTACACATTAACTATCTAAATATAAATTTCGAGCTTTAAAGGGTGTTGTTGAACCTGAAGAATTTGATGAATTTTTCTTTTTTTTTCCTTCTGTTTTTACATGTTTTTAGCCTGCTTTACGTGTCTAAAAAGGTTAATTTTAAGAAATTTAGTTTTATTAGAACAGTAATCGGGCTAAATTTGTGAAAATTTGCCTTCTAAGATATACAAAACAGGCTAAATTTGTGAAATTTGCCTTATTAGATATACAAAACAGGCTAAGTTTGTAAAAATTTGCCTT